AATAATAATAATAATAATAAAATAATAATAATAATAATAATAATAATAATAATAGTAATAATAATAATAATAATAATAATAATAATAATAATAATAATAATAATAATAATAATAATAATAATAATGATATTATTATAATAGTAAATAAATAAATAAATAAGTGAATAAATAAATAAATAAATGAAAATGGCAATAAATTTCAACACTTTCCCTTTTCAAAAAAAAAGAAAAATGCTATTAATAATGATAATAATAATGATGATAATAATGACATAGTAATAATAGCAATAATAAATAAATAAAGAAATAAGTAAATAAATAAATAAATGAAAATGACAATGAGTGATAGTGATGATACTGATAATAGTGTGATATTTTTCTGATTATTACTTTTGTAAGCTTAAACTTTGATGAATTTTGTAATGAATCATGAACTTTTCATTTTCGTTATATTTTCTATTTTTTTTTTAAAAAATATCTCACTTTTATGAATATTATTTCGATTCATATGAATTAGCAACAGTTTCTATTTTCAATTATTTATATTGTTAATTAAAATTAATTTTTGAAATTCGAATAATTACGTTACAAATCAATTACTGATTATGGTTGTATGAAAGGCAATCAATGGCTATCATTCAAACAAATAAACTAGGTAATTTTAACATTTTTTCCGTTTTCTCTCCAATATTAGAGTAAAAAAAGAAAGAAAAGAAAAAGAAAACTTTTCCGATTTTTAAATCAAATTAATAAAAATAGTTGTCATCAATATCATATATCTTACACATCTACTCACTATAATATGCTTATTTCGTACTAGTACTCAATTTTTTTAAGATATAACATGAAGTGATAACTGATAATAGATGATAAAATTAACTTTCGAAATGTTTATCTTTCAATTCTTCGAAATTTCGATTTCATTTTTTAAATTAGCATCTAAATTCAAAAAGATTTACAGGTATGAAAAGCAAATATTGATTAAATAGAAACGATCGAATCATTATGTCAGTGGATAAAACAATTGAAGAGCTGAGTTATACATTAGCTCAACTAGGTAATCTGGTTGGTCATATTAATTCACAAATGGACAACTTGCATCCAGGTGACAATTTTTTTTTTTTTTTTTTACATCTTCATTCACTTCTCTAATTTGTATTTTTTCATTCTATTGCATATTCCAATACTTCATTATTATCAATATTTTTTTATTTATCTTTTTTTTTCTCAAACTATATTGATTTAAAGTTTAATTATTTTAAAATTTTAGGATTAATTTAACATTAGATACATTTGATCATTCAATAGCAGGTATAGCTATTGATGCTGAAATTATGTCAAATCATATTGCTAATACTATATCACAGGTAATAAGAATTTTATTATATCATTTAATTTCGAAAGATATGATAAATTTTAATTTTTTTTAATGCTAGATAAGTAAACAAGTAAACAAGTAAATAAGTTAAGTAAGTAAATAACATTTTTGCATTAAATTTGATTTAATTTTAATCTTAAATTTAGAAAACTCATTGAAATGTAATAGTATTTAAATTATAATGATAAAATTAATTAGTAAGTAACATTTTTGCAATTAAATTTGATTTAATTTTAATCTTAAAATTTCAAAAAACTCATTGAAATGTGATAATATTTGAATTATAATGA